TTCTTGAGTGAGTTGACAGGTCTCTTCCAATCAGTTTCTGAAGTCCATCATGTACTGATATGTGTTCCTCACTTCTGACTTTTATTCTCCTGTTTAAGTTTTTTTCAATATCTGCATCGGAATTTGTACTGTTCTTCTGTACAGTAATTCAAAGAGTGAAAATCCTGTACTTGCTTGTGAGGCTTCTCAGTAAGCAAATATTACTCCTACAGGCACCTGTTCCAGTCACATGGTCTCTCCTTGCACATCTTCTTTAGCATGCTCTTTAACACTCTGCTGACTCTCTCACAAAGTCCATTACATCTTGGGTTGCATGGAGTGGTAAAGAGCTGCTCAGTACTGATGAGTCTACACGCCTCTTGCATCAGTTCTGAAGTAAACTGGGTCCCTCTGTCACTCAAGACTTCTTTTGGGAAGCTTACTCTGAGAACACTTTCAGAAGGGCTTCTGGTACTCTCTCTGTCTCTTTCTTTGGTAGTGCTATGGCTTCTGAGTAATGTGTCGCATAGCCGACTACTGTCAACCCATACTGGTTTCCCTTGTCAGATACAGGTGTTAGTGGTCCAATCAAGTACACACAACTAATCTTTTGAATGGCTCTTGTTTGAGAGGTATCTCACCCAGTGACAACTTGGCTACCTTCCTTCTAGATACCATCCTTTAGCAGATGTCACATGACCTATAGAATATGGTCACATCTCCAAAGACCCCTGGCCAATGGAAGTTAGTGGTGATTCTGTCTGCTGCCTTCATTGCTCCTAGGTATCATCCCATAATCGACTCTTGAGCCAACTTCATCACTTGAGTCCAGTATTCTGTTGGTACTATGATCTGTTTAACTTCCCCAGTAAAACTGCCTTGTCCCAAATTTCTGCAGTGAAGGATCTTTCTTCTGCACTTCCCTCAATTCTCCTAGACTTACATTCGAGATGTCACTTTTCGAGACTTACAAGGGGCTTGATATCTTGCTTGCTTTTGTTCTCTTTAGCTCTTGTGGTGACTGCAAATGCCTCATCAGTCTCCTTTCTGTCTGATTCCTCCAAACTTATACTTTCGTGTATATTGTCAATCACCAAGTAATAGATGGGTGCCTTCATACACATGGCCTCAAGGTCTCCCACGTAGTAAGTAGTATCTACCTTTATTCTTGCTATGAGAAACTTTCTCACTGTCCCATCAATCAACACACACATATATACCTTGCCCATTGCCTAGTCATCAGATACTAAACTGGTTCTTACTGCTGTACCAAGTATCTTGTAGGACTTCCACTTTCTTGTCCCAAACATAGCCTTCACCTACTGGCATGTTGTGGTTTGTTTGTCACATGCTATAATCACCACTGGTACTGTTGACTCATTTACTAACTTAAGTAATCATGTTTAATCATGGCGATAACACTTCCTTCTTGTGGTAATTCTGATGAGTTGTCTTCATTCTGTTTCTTCTGGCAGCAGCATCCATGGTGCCAGTTGATTTTTGGTGACAGACTTTCACTCACTCACAATGTTCCCCATTTTATAACAAGCATAACATCTTTTCTCCTAATTGTTTGTTGACTTCTTGTCACCTTTGGTGGCATCCTGCTTCTGGTCAGCCACCCCTGGTTTCGACTTTAACTGGTTATTCTTAGGCTTCCATGTACTGTTCTGCCAGCTTAATCATCTCTTCCACGTCTTGTGGTGCTCTCTTTTTTAGGAACAGTAACATGTCAGTGGAACACGTAATCATGAACTGTTGATGTATTAGTAGATCTGCCAGTCCTTCAAACTATCTTCACACATGGCCGTGTCAGTCCACCTTGTGTAGAATCACTGTAGATGTGCCACATACTGAAATACAGTTTCTCCAGTGTCAGGTTTGACTTCTCTGAACTTCTGGCAAAAACCTTCCTCAGTAAGTTCATGGCATTTCAGAAAAGCCACTTTTAGCTTGTCATAGTCCATGAAACTTTTTGATGTCATGCAGCATACACTTGTAGGCCTTTTCCGGTAAGAATGGGGCTGAGACAGACTGCCCAGTGGCCTTTGACACAGTTCTGATTTAAGGCAAGAACTTCATACCTCTCCAGGAAAGCATCCATGTCATCCATGTTCATCAGATTTGGGCTCATTGGGTTAGCTAGCCTTGACTCCATTGTCATTCTTGGGTCGTCTGTCTTTCTATTGGATGAGCTCGGCAATCTCAATTTGTGACCTTATTCTCTGTCTTCCTATCTTTCCTTTCTCTCCTTTTCTTATTTTTCTTCTCGTACTCTTATTTGATCTCTTTCTAGTCTCTCCTTTCTCTCCTTTTCTTCTTTCTATTTTTCTTCTTTTTACCTTTCACTTTTTTCCTCTCTTCTCTGTTGATGTTTTTCTCTCTCTAGGCCTTGTTGTTTAACAAACTCTCATAGATTACTGACTTTCAGTCCAAACCACTTGACCCTCTCTAGCCACTTACCAAAGTGGTTGTAATATGTACAATATTTTCGCTACCACTACAGTTGTGCACATATAGGCCTACTTTGCCCATTATTGTTTACGTCTACAACCATTTACCACTGTAGATCCTGGCTGGCTCATCAGTGTTAAGTTTTTATTGTATGTATGGGCCTGATTCGTTACAGTAGGTGTCTGTGACTTGTTGGCGATAAATTCAACAATAGACAAACAGCACACAGTTCATTTGTTTTGAAATAATATATTAAAATAAGTCAATCATATATACAAATGTTCTTTGTTAATTACCACAGTTGTATCCAAAGCTTTAGATAATCCTCTCTTTTTTTTTTCAAAGTCCATACATGCTGGTTCGGTTACTTTAGAACACAATTGACAAGACAAATTATTCTTCTCTGCTCTGTTATTACAATACAATCAGTGATAATTTCACTTATGTATTGCTTGATCTTTAAAGATACACAATAGTTTATGTTACTACTGGGAGCTCAGAAAGCAAAGGTTGCTACAACTTTTTTAGTCAGCAATCTTTCAACTACCAGGCCACTCAGACTGTGCATGCTCACTGTCTCACTTGCCGAGGAAACAGCTCTAATTGATGGAGATCATCCACTAGTAACATGTTCAGTCCTTCTGTGGTCTGGTTCAGAGCTGGGACTGAGTTTCTCTGGATGGTGACAGCCTGGGAGTCTTGTGAATACCTCACCATGTGGTCTTGTACTCGAAAGATACCTAATTCCATGTCAATGACCCTCATTTGTCTTTGCTTCCCTAAACTCTATCCTTTGTTTATGGTGAGAATTTTTACATCTTGAATAAGCAATGCTTTCAGTAAAAGTGTTTCTTTAAATTCTTTTGAATACAAAGATCAGTAAATGGCTAATATGCAAGTTATCATTCCATAAACTCCACAATAAATCCTGGTCATGGCTCCAGGGTTTTCTCTTCCTGTCTACTGTACTTGTGGTATTTTCAGGTACAACCGATTTTTAACAGATATCAAATGATAAACCCGTAACAGATGAAAAACAAGTATAACTGAACAAAGAAAGTGCGCTTGAATATAGAATGTAAACTTGCTTTCATTGTCTAGTGAGCAACATTACCTCGCCACCTCTGTTCTCTGACAATATTGATGGGCTGTCACTTTCAGTCGACTTCATAATCGGCCAGCCAAGGATATTTCAGTGCTAACTCGTTCAATTCAGAGTCTACATGCAATACTGAAACATCTCTGTAGGCAGCGGAGACGTCATCTACTAGAGAACAAAGAAATGAAACAACTAGAATAAAACAAGGGTAACATCTTTCTGGGCTACGTTTTGCCGACATAATAGTGCGGAAATTAAGTAGCCAAAAATTAAGAATAACATATATATATATATATCACCAGAATGTAACTTTATGAGCTCAATATTTTGCTATTATAACAGTTTCGTCAGGAGCTATCGATATCATACAAGTTCACTAATCCAGTTAAAGTTACATTCTGGAGATATAGGTCGTAATTTTATTTACGTTTATAGAAATGTCTTATAATAATTTTCAGTTTTCGTTGAACAAAGTTAAGAATAATAATAATATATTGTTACGACAGCGGAAGTCACGTGACTCTGGTAACACGTGATGATATTCTAGAAGGATCAAGGAACCTCACGAATGTCCCAGCGTTTGCTAGACGCCCTCTTTTTTTAGTATACAACCCGGCAAATAATGCGAGATAATAATAGCAGATTGGAGAGAGATATAGAGACAGATAATTGAGTCAAGTGAGCGGTAGTGACCGTAAGTAAAGTGCGTGAATCGCTGTAAATTATAGCGTGTGATTAAGTTAAAGAGACTGTTGAAATTCTGTGTACTGCAAGTTGTATCGAGAAAGAATAAACTAGTTTTATTTAAGAAAGGACTTGTATCGCTGAAGTTCCTCGGGAAGAATATTTACGAAAAATTATCAAACGAACAGAGACGTAACAATATATCACCGCAGAAGATAGAAAACGCATGATATGCTCCATCGCATATCACATAAGTATCTATATTTCTTCGTAACATCTGTCCCACAAGTGCACTTATTATTTACGCGTTAACTGTATGGTGTTACAAAAGCAAACATAATTAAAGGTTTGTTTTTGAATTTTACACAGATCATCTACGCTAGTCATCCCTAATTTTGAAGTGATAGACTACAGGGAAAGCAGCTAGTCAATATGAATCACTGCTAACTCTTGGGCTATTGTAATCAAATAGTGATATTCACCATCAAATTATAAAGTCCCACGGTTGAAAGAGCGAGTATGTTCGGTGGCGGGATTCGAACTCTCTACCTACCCTAAACACTAGACCCTAATAAATGTTTTTTACTGTAACAACGTAAATTATACATCTTAAGTATGTGTAGACTTATTACTCGCGGGAAAACGTTTGTGAAGTCTTGCACATTTTTTCGGGAAGGTTTTTAAAAGTCATCTTACCTAGTTCACACGGAAACATCTCAAATCAGTTTATTTCCCTTCATTTGTATTACTCTTAAATTAAGTATTCATGCGAATCTGTTGCGGCATGTTAATTTATAACGCTTAAAGTATTATCTGCTCGACAATTATTTTTGTATACAGAGTTTGTTTGTTTCTTTGTCTTTTTTACATAATAATTTTATTCAAAACGGACGACTATCCTTTCTTTAGCAATGAAAACACTTTTTTATGTACTACAAGTACAAGGTCGTTTGTCAACAGTGATGTATTCAACTGTGGTGTAGAGTGTAAGATTAAACCTATTCAGTTCAGTTGTGTATATTCAGTAAGTAACTGATCCATTGAGGACAATTTTACATCAGGTTGAGAGGTAATAACGTTAAATTTATTTAATTAAGTACTTAGTAAAGATCTTGTCTTTATTATGTTTATCATAGTTACTCATTACAATTTAGAGCAAAGCTTGAATAATTAACGGCATGTATTATTACGTAATACTCATAATTAATATACAGGGGTATAGCAGCTACCAGTAACGTGATTAAGTACAACTGGAACTTAGATTTAGAACAGTAGAACTAGAACTAGAAGTGTAAAATATGACACAAGTAAGAGTTGGTAGAGTTAGGCCTAACCTTCATATTTACACGTTTTCTCACTTTTTTTTTTCTTTTAGATAAACTACCTACACAACAAAAATATAGGAAAAAACAAAACTGAAGTAAGCCTAGCTTACCCTAAGTTTGAATATGAACATGATGTAGATTTAACAACAGGAGATGTGAGTGTAATTGCTGACTACTGTGGCTAATATAGGCAAATTAATCATTGTAATTTATATAACTTTATATTTATAAGTAATGAAATATAGGAAGACGTGTCAGTTAGCTTAATAAACACGTTATTTGCATATACTGAAGTAGGCTACCCAACATGCAGTTATAACACATAAATTATAATAAACTGTTCAGTGATTTGACAAATAATTAAATTATATTTATAAACGATGTCAAACTCAAAGCTCGTGTTGTTAGATCAAGTTAGACTGTTGTGATGTCACCAACTTACAGATTCACACTGCCACAGTCTAGAAAAATGCTTAAAATATTTAAATTACAAAAAGGAGTATAATGCATCTTTTAATTTTGATTTTTAAATCAAATGACCAGTTACTCTACAGAGATTAAGTTATTTCATTGGGTTAACATGCAGGTGTTAACTTTTAAGTCTCATTGTTAGGGACTTCATTCACAAAAAAAATACACACACACACACACACACACACACATATATATATATATATGAAATGATTTGTGCTGAATGAAGTTTCTGAAAGATTTCAAATTATATATCTAGACACACACACACACACACCTCATAATGAATAAAACCACTTGTACTTAGTAAATAAATAGCAAGTGCTCGAATTGGTTAGTGCCAGTAAAAATTGTTACACTAAAACAACAGTATATCATTTCTTACATATTTCAAATTTTGTAGTGTTGACTGGAGTCGCATGTACATTTTTTAAGGACAAAAATACAACTTTGTAAATTGTGAGTTATATTACTACAGGGAATTTATTTTTCTATTACCATTCAGTGTTTTGCTTGGCAGCTTTGTCGTGGAAATAAGTGTACACGTAGTAACATGCACTGTTTCTGATATAGGTTAAAAATCAAAATAAACTTGCCACTTTAATATTATTGAATTATCAGGGTTACAGCAGTAGTAGTAATTTTAACAATAATTATGGTTCAGAATATGCCAAAGTGAAAAAATGTATAATAATATAAGTACACACATGTATGTAAATGAAAAACTATAAGCTTACAAACAAAAATACACATTAATTATAGTAATATAAAATGGGTTGAGATTAAAAACAGGGATTGGCTTTTATGAATCATGTATAATCTCATTATGTAGAAATGCAGAACCACTACTTAACCTTCAAATTATCAGCTATTTTCAACTGGGAATCTACATGTTATGATGTAATGAGTAATTTTATGTTTTTGCTTGTTATAACATTCATTGTAAAAAACTGACCAAAACATTCAGTGAAATCACTCATTTTCTATGCAAGCTATTTAGGGAACCCATATTCATTGGAATTAACTGCAGTATGGTATTTTTGTTTATGTTTTTTGTGTGACTCATTGCATTTGTGACCCTGCAAACAACAATCATAGATGCATCAGCAATTTGGTGCATAAATAGTTAAAAAAAATGTGTTTGAAGACCCAGCGAGGTCCATATAACATTACATTTAAGGATAACAAGGGTCCTCTACAAGTAGAATTTCAGATCTGCCTTTTATTGTTGGCAGTGACTTGTTTATATTTACATGTATAACACTTTCTAATCTACATTATTGTTTTTTGCTGGGATAAGAATATTTATTTTTTAATATAATGGCAAGAGCTAAAATGACTGTACATTAGATAACCTGCCCAGATTTTTTGATATGTTTTAAATTAACTCCTTAAACCTGAACAGATGCTGTCAGCTCCAGCTGAAAATCCTGAGTTACCCAATAACATTTATGTCTCTTTGCTTGAAAACTAATCCAAACTATGTTATTACCCACCTTTTATAAATATACTGGAAATTTCATAAGGTATGGTGATAATTAGGACATCATGAAAATAATTCTGGAAGAACAAGCAAACATTATGAGTTTAAAGGGTTAAGTAATAGTATTTTCTAAAAGTCACATATGTAGACTAGTTAACCTTTCCACAGATTTTCTCTGTGCATCACATGCTATAGTAAATTGTATTATTTTGAAATACTGTGGAAGAAGCCATTCCAATGAATATAGACATGCATATATTTGCAATATGTAATAATTTAGTCATTTTAATAAGAGAAAAAATTGGGCTAGTATATTTTAGTTCAGGCTATTACAGGTTTCATGCCTACTAACCATGAGGATAGTTCATCAAAACATGTTTGCATGCGATCATTGTTTCCAAGTATCTTTGTTGCACTCTGATTTCTTGTTACTGCCTATTATTCTTGCTAGTGGAAAAAGGGGAAGGTTTTCAAGTTTATATTGGTTAAAACTTCTCTGAAGTCAACCAACACATCAACTTAACTGGTTTTGATCAATCTTAAAACTGCACAAAAACTGGATTTGAAGCAAGCAGTGTGCAATTTCTCCTCAAGGAAAACAAGAAAAATGAAGTTTCTGTAGCTGTAAAACTTTTCTCAGGCTATTAAAAATGTATCAATACAATTTATTTTATTTTTTTAAGTCCAATGTTTGTTGTAAGATTGTAAAGGAAGGGGCAGATTGAAAACTTGCCTAGGGTAGCAAAATAGCTAGCATCAGTATAAATGGATAATTAGTGGTATTTGTTAATTGACAGTCCCAATAACCAGTTACAATTGATTAATCCATTAATACATTCTTCCTCCAACCATGGTACATGGTTGTAAACAAAGAATAGGTTGGTGATAAGTTCTTTAGAGAGTTTGCCTTCATTTTTGTCAGCAGTTCAAGAACAACAAAAGGCAATGGGTGCTGCCAGTCAGTTGCCTTCCCTCTAGTCAGCAGGTAAACATTAGTGACAGTGTTAGATAGCCTTAGTAGGTTTGTTATAACAAAGACATGGTGAGCAAGTTTGATGGTAATATTTTGATTACTTGGATAGTTCGAATAATCAATAATAGTGAAAATTGGAAACCCAAATTTTGATTAGTTGATTAGTTTTGTGATAAATCTTTCTCGTAGGTAATCATTTAAAACAGTTAATTGATTAAGTTGTCTAGATCTTTATCGTCAGGCATTATGCTGCTATATAAATTATAAGGATTGTTGTGAATTTGTTTGAAATTTGTGTGTATATTGTTTGTTACAGCTTGCATCATGTCGATGATAGCAGATCTAAAGTCTCTTATAGAAAATGAGGTACCAGAAGGATTACAAAGTCTTCAAGACAGTCATATTAATTTAGAAAAAGTTGCACATTATTGTGAAGACAACTATTTTCACGTAAGTTTTCATTAAGTCAAGGTGAGCCTCTCAAATATTAAACCAGTATTGTATGTGTATATACATTTAAAAAATATGTTGGTATAAGACACAGATTGAAAGTTTTATAGTTTTATTTCTTTTTACATATTTCTTGATCAGGGTAAGTGTGCCTGTGTATTTCATAGCTGTGTCAAACTTGAAAATTGATTTATTGTGCTGTTTTATTTGAGTGGTATAAGATATGAAGAATGCATTCAGAAAATTTTAAATTTTCCCTTTAGTCATGGATATATTGCCCTCCAAACATAGACATCTACCAAGGTGATCACTTTTTCAGAGCAATGTAACATATAATGTTTTGTGAAAACATGGGACCTATTGGTCCATCTCTGGTGTTCCACCCTCTAAATCAAATTAAAATAATTAAAAAAAAATCTTAAAGCCAGCCCTTATCATTCATATACTTATCAAGCTTTTTCTTAAACTCGCTTAAATCTACTGCCTCTGCAACATCCGAAAGCAACCCATTCCAAAGGCCAATCACCCTGTAAAAAAAATGAACTATTTTAACTGAAGATGACTCCTACCCTGCCAAAATTTACATTTGTGTGCCTTTGTCCTACTATTCTCACTGTTACATTTGAAAAAAGATGATGCATCAACACTATAAATTCCCTTTACAATCTTAAACAACTCAATCAGATCCTCCTAACTCTTCTTTTTTCAAGAGAAAACAATTTGAGAGATTTCAGCCTCTCCTTATATAACAACCTCTCCATCCCAGGCACCATTCTTGTAACCCTTCTCTGAACTCTTTCCAACAATTAAATGTCTTTCCTAAGGTAAGGAACCCAAGACTGAACACAATATTCCAAATGTGGCCTAACCACTGACCTGTACAATGGAATTATAACTTCTTTAGACTTGTATTCAATATTTCTGTAGATAGAACCTAAAATCCTATTTGCCCTATCTCAAGCAACAGCAAGCTGCTTGGATGGCTTTAGAGACTGATCAAACATTACACCAAGATCCCTTTCCTTCATAACACTGTTAAGGTTATTCCCATCCATATTATACTTATAATTAAAATTATGATAATCCACATGCATTATCATGCATTTATTTTAATTAAAACCTATCTGCCATTTATTTGCCCAACTCACTAAATGATCTAAATCAGCAGCATCCGCTTCACAGCTAGCAACACCCGAGACCTTAATGTCATCTGCAAATTTAAGTAATTTATTGACTATTCCTGTTAGAAAAATGAAACTGTCTTAGCTACAAACACCATTTGTAAGGACTAAGACTGAGCCCTGAAATACCCCACTTGTGACATTAATCCAATTTGACTAAACTTCATTTGTAACAACCCTCTGCTTTCTTTCATCCAGCCACTCTTTTATCCAATTTGCTAACTTGTCCCCATACCTATAGAGATGATGTTTTTTTCCAGCTTTTTATATGGCACCTTGTCAAATGCTTTCTAAAAATCCAGATACACCAAATCTACACCCTTACCCTCATCTACATAAGCAGTAACTTTTTCAAAGATTGTCAACAGAATTGAAAGGTAAGATTTTCACTTATTGAAACCATGTAGACAATCCAATAAAATTCTAAACTTTGTTAAATGACTTTGTAAAACATTTTTTAACAGACTTTCCAAAACTGTTCTCACAATTGATGTAAGACTAATGGATCTATAATTACTGGGACAATTTTTATCACCTCCCTTGAAAAAAGTAATTAC